GCAGGGGCTCCTTCCCTTGCCACAAAGTCTGTCTCCATTTCCAGAACTGCTGGACACAAATGCCAAGCCTGATCCCATCCTGCCTGATCTGTGGAGCTCCAGAGGATTCAGGAGATGCTGAGCCCTTGGATGTGCTGAGGACCTGCCTCATCACTTATGCTCATCAGCACAGAGCCAGCTGCTCCAGTTCCTGCTCTGAAGAGGAAAGGGAGCTGGGAATTCATGGAATCCAGGCACCACGACTTCAATCCTTTCATGACTTCTTCATGCCTGGCTCCACAAGCTTAGCATTCCTTTACCTTAGGAAATACCTAAGAAACTGCTAAATTAAACTGGAGATGGAAAAAGGGGACACCTTTGCTTACACACTTCATCTGGAGGGTGAGACCTGGGAGATTTATCACTGAGATCTTTGCAGCCTGAGCGCCGGGGCAACTTCCAATAACAGCAGATTACATCACTTGCCAGGATTTTGCTTAGGCACTGTAGAACTGCTCAGAAACACTTTAATAGCATTTAACTTCATGCTGAAAATGCTGATTTATTGCACTCCAGTGTGAATAGGCATGTCTAAGGACAGAGCACACTACTTTTTCAGATGTCAGCAACTGTGGGGTTTTGTTAACATCGTTCAAGTGATTAAACGTCTTTGAACTAAAAGGCTTTAAGACTTTTAAGTCAAAACTGAATTAATTTATACTAAAAAGTACAGCTTGGGAAAGGTCCAAATAAAAATGAAGTATTTTCAGATTCACCATAATAAGACACTTTGATTAACCTCTATTTTTTGTGCCATTTTCATTTATATTTTACCACAGCACATGTGAAAAAATGCTGGAATTTTGAGTAACTCACCAAACTGAGTTTCTATTTAGCTCCAAGACTAGGGACCTGGCCTCATGAATCACACAGAGCAAAAAGCATTGTCCAGAATTCAGAATTAAAGTTTGCTATACATAAACCTTGTGACATTTTTATTACAGCATACCAGTCTGGAATCTGCATTTAAAACACTGACTGCTCAAAGGAATCTAAATCTCTTTAGCTAAAGGTAATAAAATGAGGTCAAAAATTCACTACTCAACAATCTACCATTAGCATTTCTGCTCAGAAAAAATGTAGTTCATCCATTTTTAAAGAAAGTAAAGGCAGGGCATATAACAGAAGTTTGGAAAGTATAATGATGTGCTTGTGTATGGAAGTCCATTAGGAAACAAGCTTAATTTCCTCATCAAGGAAAAAAAAAATCATCTGCATCATGATTTTTTTCACAGTACACACAGTACCTGTGTAAGCCAGAAGTGGGACTGCATTTCTGTTTACACAACCCATGGTTTCAGCCTGGCCTCCATCACCAACTAAATCACAACAGCAGAGAGCACAGAGGGTCTGAGCTGGATCCTGGCTGGGATCAGCTCTTTCCACTCCTGAGGAGCTCTGTGCTCCCACGCACGTTCCACTGACAGTGCCACAAAAGTGGCCAAACTCACCTGGGACACACCTGCTGGTGCTGACTCAGTGCTACTGAGAATAAAGCAGCCTGATGCTGGCCATAAAAGAAAAGGAGTTTTGTTTGCAGTTATCAACGTGGCAACATATTTTTTTAAAATTTCATTTGTTTGGATTCTTAATGGCGGAAACAGAACTTAATTTCTGCTGCAGTATCCTTTAAAATAAATGCTTGATCTCTTTCCACCCACTATTACAGCTGATGGGCACAAAGTAAAAAGAACAGCAATTCATTCACCTTATCACTGGAGCACCAGAGGAAGAGAGGGATCCTTAGTGCAATGATTAATGACTCACTATAAAAAGATGCATCATAAACTGCTTGTATTAGGTTAAATCATAAACTAGGCTTTTAATGTTTATATGATCCCTTTCTAAATAATTAAGTGTGTCTGTAGCTCCCACTAGGAATGGAACTCACATGATGCTTGCAAAGCATGCAGTTTCTTACAGGGTCATAATTTGGGACCCTCACTTAAAGGGAACCCTGTCTGCCTCCACATTCAAGCACTGCTTGACTTTCTCTTCCTACTGGGACTTCTCCCTGTACTTACTACAGGTCAGGGAGACCATTTGATGTTCAGGAGCAGCAGATATGATCTACCCTGAATTTAGAGTGACTTCTTCAGCCTGTGCTCATGAAGGGCAGCTCATCCACAGAGGAGGCAGCCAAGACTGGATGCTGTAATTTCCTGTGTTTAGGTGCTAATAATAACTCCCATCAGCTTCAGTAGCTGGTTGGAGAGCAGTGAGAGAATAGCACCATTTGTCCTAACAGTCCCCCAATTTATCCACCTTGTGGTGAAACTGCCACCTTTGAAAAATACAGTACGAGGTGACATTGTGTAAGGGTCCATCCATTTCCTTACTATCACAAGCCTGCAAATGTGTCCATCTCCCTTTTATTTCCCAGAACAGCTGGTGCTTTTTCTCAACCAAACCAGAATCTCCCTCTCTTGGCAAACAGACATTGGCTTCAGTGTGAAGTCACCCCATCAGGAGAATGGTGCAGCTCTAACCACCATTATTTACTCAAAAAATAATAGGAGTTTAAAAAAGAGCTGCAGAGCCAATACTTTCAATAGACATAGCAGGCAGCCCCAGTCTGTTGTTGCACTTCTTATTCATATTCAATACAGAAAATCACTTAGGTTAATGATTTAAATATTTCCATCTATGGAATTTAGAAAAGGGCAAAGCCAACAGTGGAATACCCAAGATCAGGATTTTTTAATAAACAATAGATTTCATGGGAATTAGCTGGGTTATCAAACAGTATCCTCCCAAATCAGTTCATTAGTTTCACTGAGTTTCCCTATTTCACTTTATTAAAACAATTTAAACAAGGGTTCACTAGATGCAATGTAATCTATTTCAGACACTCCAAGCCTAATCCCTTTTCTCTTAGCAGTTACATGATAATAGTTTTCAAAAAAGTTGAAAAGGATTATTGTTACAGCTATTTCAAATAGGGACTGTTTTCAGCCAAGCATGGGTCACTTTCTCTACATGTTTTTATTATTATATTAATTTTTGTTATTTACTTATTCATTCATGTATTCCTTCCTTTTTCTGTCTTTCATTGCTTCGCACAAGCAGTCACACATGGTCAACAGATCCCTCTGGCAGGTGGAGGGGAGGCACCAAATATCCCTGCATGGGTCACTGCGCCAGGCCTTAGAAAAAGTGATTTTTTTGCAATTTACTTGAAGGTTCTGGAGTTAAAAAAAACCCCCAACTTGGTAAATTCACAGTGGTTTTATAAATAGCCTAGAGAGAAGGGAGAAGGTTCCTGTGCATTTTCACACTGTTAGTTTCTGACAGCTCTGAAAGACTCACAGGAGGGGATCACACATAGGATTTGCAAATGAGGAGGCAGACACTGTATATTACTTACCAGGCTGGAAACACAGACTAACAGACCTGTGCTATGGACACACAGCTTATTTCACAACAAACTCATACTCATACTCTTGTATTTTCATACAGCCATTCCAAACAGTAGGGTTAGCATTTCTTATAGGGCAAAAAAAGCCCCCAACCAAAATAAAACCCAAAGAAAAAGAGCTGGTTTCTAGATCCAAGCTTTCTGCAGGCTTTAACAGGTTCCCTATCCCTGAAAACCCATCCTCACTCACCTCAAATCCTTGTCTCTTCAAGCAAGTGCCATTTCATAATCCTATTAAAACCTTTGCCTCTGTTTACCAGGAGCTCTAATCGTACTCAGCAAGTTCTCCTGGCCTAAGGAAGAGCGACAGCTTTCAGATTTCTTAGGAGGCTTATTCATCAACCACGCCAGAGTTTTGCCAGAGTGTTCAATCTATTCTGGGAGCAGCCATGTGGAAAAAGCTTCAAACAGCTCAAAGCCCTGCACAATGATAAAGGAAAGCTCACACAATCCTGGTAATAGCCTGACCCTCTTAAGGAAAATTGGATGATTTGTGGTAGCAGTTTTTCTGTCCCCTATGTGAATTCTGAACCTTAAAGTATAAGCAGTGTATTCACACAGTCCCATTACAAACCCCATCCCTCTTGCAATGCTGGAATAACAAATACACACCCATATGTGAAAATAAAGTCTTGCTGCAGTGACCTTCCTCCTCAGTCCAATGCTGTGAAGGAGTTTGTAGCCATTTTAGAAAAAAAGAAGAGCCAGATAAAGAATGGACTAATTTGATGTTCAATGTTTCACCACGAGCAGAATATATGCTTTAATGAGCACATTACATGCACCAGGGACATGTTACTGGGAAGCAGGGGATAAAGAGTAAAGGGAAAATAATTAAACAGTCAGCTTTATAATGAGGAAACTCTGTTCATGCAACACTAAGTGGCCTAATTTTCAAATGCTAAGGAAAGACATGTTCCTTGGGCTTCAGGAAGACTTGCTGGCAAGTACCACCTTGAAACCAAGGGCAAGGGATCACAAGTATCAAATCTCCTTTAGGTCCAGGCCACAGGAACTGGTATTCTAAAGTCATCTGTCCACACTTCACACTGACCTGTCCAACAGGACTGAATACCTGCACCCTGTATTCTTATTCTACAAGGAGGATCCTTAGAGTTGTAAAATATCCCAGGATTCATAGTGTGTGTATGATGAACACTACAACTGACTTCTACCAGCCTGGCCTCAGTTTTCTGTAGGTGTTGCATCTGTAGCGAACAAATGTACAACCCCAGCTAAGGGCAATGAGCACATGGAGACTTAGAGTGGCTGTTTGCACCAGGAAAGATACTGGGAAAGGGGAAAACCTTTCTCTTTGGGCTCAGACACTAACAGGATAAACCAATAAAGCATATTCCTGACTGTTATCAGTGCTCTCAAGGCTCAAAAGGCCAGGAGCATTCATTTCCTGGCACTGTCACTTCCAGATAGTGCTGCAGCATCAACTACTCCAGCATGACAGCCCATCAGTGAGACAGCAGCTCTGCTGGGCCACAAGCTCCCCAGCACTCTTTGCACATGCACAAGGCTCTCTGTTACTCACTCTCATGCCTAACTCGATGTTTTCTCCTCCATAGACCTCCATGCCAGGGTCCAGCAGGCCAATCTCACCAAAATACTCTCGGTCCACCACAAAAGAGCATCCAATCATGGCTGGTGTCCTGCACAGAGAGATCAAAGCAAAAAAATTAAGCCATTCATTAGCTATTACAAACTCCAGCTCATAACAAATGTACACAGATTAAACAGTTCTTAGTCTTCAAGTTTACATTCTAAATTTACCTATTAGCATCAATCACATGGCACTTCATATATGCAAGAAATTCCAGTACTTCTCTATTTGGTGCTGTAATTTCTGAAGATTTTCTGTTGAATCATTCTCTAGTTAGAGGTGGTCTCAAAGCTCTACAAAAACCACACAGGGTCCTGGATACTCCTGGCTGGGCACTTCCATCATCAGCTGATGCATGTATTTGTCCACCAGGATCTCTGCATTTATAAATCAAGTTATTTGATAAAATGCATCTTCCTGATTATATTTCCCAGAGCCAAGCCTGGAAACAGATTTGCCTAAAAAAGCTGAGAGCTCTCCTGTACACAGGATGAGACATATCCTATATACATCTTGATTTCACATCTTGTACCACTGAAAAGCATATCTTAGGCTAACAAGGAATAAATTTGATCTTGGAATAAAATGAAAGAAGGACACAACCAAGGTAAGGAAATTCAGTACCTCTGCAATGAAATAAGCCTTGGAGGGAATATTTCAGGTGTATTTTTAAAGTTTTACCCATGATGAGAGAAGGAGATGGCAGGGAGAAACACACACCACTTTCTTCATTTTCTTTTTCATTTATTCAAAACAAAACACAGGCTTCACTGGATCAAGGCATCACTGCTTTACAAAACTAAGATGCCAGTTTGGGCTTAGACTCATTCTTTTTCCAGCCCTGTCTCCCCCACAGAAACCCTCTGGAGGCAGCTCCTTACAGCAGTAGGATGTTCCCATGAGGACGTCTCCTCCCTTTCTAATGAGGAATGGCACTGCCAGGCTCTGCAGACTGCTCTCAGGTGCTGGAATCTCTCTCTCTGGGGGATGGATTGCTGCAGCTGTAGGCTCTGTCCATTAAGACCCTGAGTTGTTAATTGAACGGGGGTGGGAAATACATTTCAGATGCAACTACTACAATAATCATCACTCACAAACGAATGCCACTGAGGACTGTCTTTGCAACTCCATCTCTCCCTTCTAGGGTTTATTTCTTCTCATTATATATATTCAAATATAGACTTCACAAGCTTTCACAGCTTTTCCAGGAAAAAAAAAAAGTTCTCAGGAGTGAGCAACAACAGCAGAACAATGACAGAAAGAACCACATCCAGCTTTTATAATTTTATACCGTGTCACACTGGCATATAACAAACACTTTTAAAAAAATGTGCTTGAATTAAACTCAAGGCCCTCACTTGGCATTAGAACTGGGTTGCTCCAGTACCTGAAATGCACTGGTACATCCACCACTTCTAGTGCAGTGCAGCAGACTTATCTTGAAAGCTGGAAATGGCCACATGAGCAAAAGCAGCTGTGATAGCACCTCTTACCCCCTGCTCACTGCCCAAGGGGCAGCACAGGAGAAGGTGAGTGCCCCCAGCACTTCACAGATTCAGGGCACAAGATATTAACCTGCTTTATATAAAACAACCTTTTCCCTCAATCATGCACTCTCTAGTAAAACAGAGACACTTCTGGAAGGAGAAAGCAGCAATTAGAAGTGTACTATTTTTTTACCACCACCTCAAAGGTGTTGTGAAACTTAATTGATCTGTGGAATATTCTTTGACACAATGGAGGATGTTATAAGGATTAATTATAATCTACAGCAGCACTCAAAGGATAATGTGGGAAACACAGCAAAATGGGTTTTGCAGCTAAAAGCGTAAAATGCAGCCCAGAATTGTATTGATTCTGCACTGGAGAAAGATACAGCCTAGTCAGTTTGGGGGAATTACCTGACAGCACTGCTGTAGCAAGGGAGACATGAGAGAAACATTTCTGTGGGTAATGCCCTGGGAAAGGGAAGAAGCACAGAGAGGTTTCTGGTGGTGAACTCTCCCTCCCTGCAGCAGCAGCAGCAGGAGAGGCTCTGTGTGGGGAGGGCAGTGCCTGCCATGGGATGGGGCACACTGGCCAGGGGAGAAAGGCATTTGCTGCAGGACTGAGTCAGGACTTTTGTGTCAGTGAGATCCCCAGGAGCACAGCTCTGCTGGTAGAATTCCAGCTGTGCTGGCACCCATTTCTCCAGCCAGGTGCATCTCCCTCCTTTCCCTTTCTGAAGGGAGGTGCCTGGGGGCTTCATCAAGAACCAGTGAAGGAGAAAGGGATGGGGACTAAACTGCATGTGGTACAGTCAGTCTTCCTCTGCCTTATGCATCTTTCTCCCCTGCCTTAAGGTCAGCATATATTTATATATATTTATTTATATATACATATGCGCACAATGCAATCAGGTCACATTTGAAACAGTTTCCTGAGCAGCCAGCTGCAATTTCCAGGAAAACTGACAAACACAATAAACACATAAATTCAAACACAAATAGAACCATAAATAAATATACAAGCATAAATGTATATATACAGGCATAATGAGAGAGACAAGGAGTTTCAAATGACACAGAACACATCCTGTCTCTGAGTGTTCCACCTCTCCCAGCAGGATGTTTCTTTGATTCAGGTTCTTAAGAGCACCTCAGCCCTGGTCTGACATGTAAGTGGGGAAACCTGCATGGTACCTGCAGAAGTATTTCTATTTTTCTTACAGCTCATGTCTTCTGCAAGAAAGAGTCACACCAGGCCCCAAGAACATAACTCAAGAATAGATTTGCTGCTCAGAAGAAACAGGGGGAAAAAAAGACAAGATGACAAGCTAATGCTCATCTAGAAAGGCAGAGCAAATACGGATGCAGAACAACTGTCTGATGCCCTGTGGAAGTAAATTTTTGGAACAGGCGGGACACCCATCAAAACCTGGACAAATAAAAGCAAAACTGCTTTGTTACAGGCTCCTGTGAACCAGAAACTGAAAAGATGGCTATGAGCAGTCAATAAACACTCACCAGTTTTATTATTACATGGCAGCATGGTTTATAATGAAAGACTTTACCTCCTGAGCTCAGGTGGATTTCTTCCCAGAGCAGTGAGGGCCCAGATTGGCTTCATCATTATTGCTACTGCAGACCAGCACGGGGCCTGACTTGCACGTGAGATGGGCACACACAGTCTCAGATAGAAGCAGCAGCACAAAGCACTTCACTAGGGGCACATCAAGCTCTAATTTATGTCCATGAGCAAGGCACTGGCGCTCTCTGGAGCAGCTGATGCGGTGCATGTACATGCACATCCCTACTGGTACCAAGCTATGGCATATTAAAGCAGTAAGTGAGAACATATGCAACAATGAAATGCACCACTGCTGCTGGAGGAAGATAAAATGGAGAGCTGTGCAGTGCTTGGCTGGGTCAGGCTGACTAATGACTCTAATGTTAGTGGCTGCTGATCAAGAAATCAAATGCAGAGCAGTCCATCATAATCACAGCAGGTGAGGGAAGACAAGTCAGAGCCAGAGTTCAGAATACCAGAAACCTTCCTTGCTGTTCCAAAACCCAGGGAAAAAAAAATACAGCCTGCATTAAAAAGCCCAGCTTGTTTCAATGCATAGTCAAATTCATTAGAAGCCCTCTGAAACAGATCCTTTGTTACACAGTGTGTTGCCAGATGATAAGGACATTTTTGGGCAGCGTGTTCGCAGGAACACGAATGGAAAATGACGTGATGGACACAGTGTGTCAAAATAACAATCCTCATTTAAATCTTCACTTTACAGACGTCTTCCATCTCAAATGTCAAACATGGAAAATGGATTGCCTGCAGAGGCCAACTTGGGGAACATCAATTGTTCTGAAGTTCAGAGTATTAATGTGGGGGAGGAAAAGAACTGACTTTAAAGTGCATCAGAAATCTTTATAGAATCTGACACCTTGTTCTTGCTATTTCTTTACCTTTGTTAGCACTTCAAGGCCACGTCCCCTTTGTCACTTAGCTCACAACAGCTGATGTGGCATTTCATGGTGCACACTGGACATGACTGCCCATGAATGACCCACTGGCATGAGGAATAGTTGCTGCTCTTTCCTAGCAAGGCTGAGTAGAATCACACCACTGTCAGTGTTCAAGAAATTAGAGGATCAGGCTTCAAACAGAAAAAATTCTTAGGAAAGAAGCACATCTGTTGTGTAGTCCCAGAAGGAAACAGGAGTTGGACCCTGTTTTCCAAATGCCTCACCCAATTCTGCACATTGATGATATTTATTCATACAGTGCAAACAGGAGAAATGCCAGGGCTCTGATCCTCACTGATACCAGGGTACACATGTTCTTTAATGCTGAAAATCTCTAATCCTTTTGGAGATCTGGCAGAAAGTATTCAGCTACATCAACCACAAAACCAATCACAGGGTTATTTGTTACCAGCCTTCTCTTTCACAAAACACACACAGAGGCACAAACCAAACCCACTGCTTGCTGAAAACAGGGTCAAACAAAACCTTAAGAGGTACAGTGGTAGCAAGGACTAAATGGACTTGCAGTTTCCATGCTGATGAGCAGCTTTGCAGTGTTATGAATGCACTGGACAGACACATGGATTCAAACAGCACCAAAGTGCACTGTTTCTGTCTTGCAAAGTGGACTGAAACAGGGATCATGGTTGCAATATGTGATTTGGAAAGCTGGTTACAAAACCAAAACCTGTACCAAACCAAGTCACATATGTAATTTTTTAAAAAAGTTTGCTCACTAGCCTGACTTTGCCTTCCTTTTGAAAACACACTTTAAATATTCCACAGCTAGTAAGTTCCCAGCATGACCACTTTCAGATCTCATTCCTAAGGACAGACTTCCTGATTGTTTTCATCAATAACACTCACACAGTCACTCTTTCCACTACCATAATTACACTGGCAAATCACTTAAAAGCCACAAAATCACATCATATTTCCACAGGCAGGAACAACACAACAGCCAAATGCTTTAGCAAATCCATCCAGGTGCTACAGCTTCAGAGGCCCCTCAGCACACACTGCAGTGTGGCCATAAAGGGGATGCCCTGCTCTCCTGAATCCCTGCCTTCAAAGAACTTGTGCCCAGGGAGACATGGAAGTGTTCATGGTTCCATGTGGATATCTCTGCATTTAGGGCATGGAATTGTTAATTTGTGGAAGAGATGCTAAGGCGGTGGCAGTGTGTCAGTGCTCCTGATATTTGCCAGCCAGGGTTGGATGTTCTCCTCCTCCTGCTGCTTGTCTCATTGTCTCTGGGCAGTTTATGCACTGTTGAACTGGAGGGTTTCTCCATTCAGGCTCAGAGTAAAATCACTGCTCTTGGGAGCCAGCTACTCCTGTGCATCAGATTTTAACCCTGCTCAGTGCTTGAGTTTGGATTTGTTCACTCCTGTGTCAGCCCAACTCAGTGCCAATGTGGCACCAGCAAGAGCCTGAATGTAAATCTGATGGAAGTCCATGGGAAATCAGGTCCTTTATTGCTGAGGTTTAACCTCTTAGTTCAGTCTTATCTGTTATGTGATCATTGTCTCCAGAACAGAAGATACTAAAATACTGGAGCAATCCATGGGAAAATTACTGCAATGATTTCACATATAAATTGTGAGTCATGAAGTGCACAAAACCTTTCAGGAGTGAAAGCTTTGGATGATTAATTTTCCTTTATCAATAAACTTTCTCAGGGCTGAGTGAAACAGGTATAAAACATCTGCACTTTTAAAACAATGTGAGGCGAGCAGGGCATGTTATCCAGGAAAACTGATTTCCTAAGTAATTACTTCCCTGCTTATTGAGGTTTCAAGACAAGCAAAAGGTCAGTGATGATGGACTGTGCTGTCCTGCAGTAAATAAGGTTAATATTACTGTATAGCTCTGTTTTGCAGTCACAGAGCATGAGAATGAACCTGAGTACAATTTGCAACACTTGCTCAAATACAGATTAAAATATTACTCTTCATGAGGGAAGGATCCTGTGAGGTGGCCCCATCCCTCTGGTCACTTAGAAATGTGATCAGTGTGTCAGTGTCTTTTCACTTCCAAAAGACCACTGGCATTTTTTAAGGTGGTTGTGTTGTTGGAAGTGCTTGGCTGAACTTTTCAGGATCTGGCAACTCAAGCTTTGCACTGGAAGGGAAGTACATCAGCTCCTCTGCCAGAGCCCACACTGGGACCATACAGAAGAGTTTTGCTTTAAGATGATGCCAATATACATGAAAATGAAGATGACTTTAAGCTGGTAATTTGTGTCCTTCTTAAGAAGACTTAAAAATAAGAGCATCCTAAAGTGCATACTTAGGCTTCAAATTTTTTAGCATTTATTTCTGGAGTTGGTAACAGCAGTACCCTTTATCCAGCACAATATGTCCCAGAGGAGCTGTTAGACGAGCATCTGCACTGGAGATGAAAGGCTAGGAGATGTGAATTTTCAAATGGAGGGGAGAGAAAGCCCTTTGCACATCAGTTTTCCCACTGTAACAATTCTCAGAAACACCTTCACAATTCCTGTAATGGCCTTTCCTCAGAAAATTCCATTTCTGTAATGTACAATGTTCTCTTGTAAGGAAAAGTAAATTGACACACTGACTACATGGTCTGGTGTGGGTTTGTTTTAAAATTCAACCAGAACAGCCTCATTTATAGTGAATATTTTTGCCCCCGATGAGGGGGAGAGATGAATGCATCTGACTCCTTCTTATCAGAAGGCTAATTAATTACTTTATTATACTATATTATTCTATACTACATTACATTACATCTAAACTGAATCTGCCAAGCACTCAACTGCACTCCACTGCACAGAATCTCATGACTGTCAGCCAACAGCCCCAACACACACACAGGACAGGCCAAGAAAACAAAAACCATCACTTTGGGCAAACAATCTCCATATTGCATTCTACTTGGGCACAACACAGGCACAGCAAATACGATAAGAACTGTGTTTTCTTTCTCTCTCTGCGGTTCAGAGAATGTGAAACCCAGAAATATTCTTGGGAAGAATTGTGCCTTGCTTTTCTCTGTGAAGAGAAACGTGGCTACACTCGTTCACCTAAATTCCCCCCCGGCAGACGGCCGAGACGGAAACATCAGAAGTGACAGCACAGGGGAGATTTACCTGATGGGAGCTGACTCATCCCCTTTATCAAGCCAGTCCTGTGGTGGGATTATGTACATGCACCAGAGCCCCCAGTTGTAGCCGTGGGCCGCGTTGGCGTACTGCTGCACTTCGAAGGTGTTGTACTTGATGTTGTCGATGGCGGGCAGGATGATCCGCTTGCGATCCTCCTTGATCCGCGTGAGCGCCGGTTCCGCCCTGAGAGCAGTGAGAACAGCACAAGGTTTGACAGCCATCCTGTAATCCCAGGGCATGCTTTGCAGGCTGATAAAATGAGGTTTTCTAAGGCTGTGAGCATCAGCACAGTGAGATGGAAAAGGCAGAGCAGGGCAGGGAGAGATGGGGTACAGATCGCAGCCACACGCTGCAGGGCTGCAGCTGGTGTGGGACACTGCACACAGCACCTGCACAGGAATTACCACCTCTGTGAAGCTGTGCCAGGGCCTAACAACACAAAATTCGACCAAATACTTATTCTGAGGCCTGGAGATTGTTAATTCATTTCACAATGGAGAAATGTTGAGAGACACCATCACCAATAGCAGCTAAATGGTCTCCTACTGGCTATACCACCAGGATTTCTGGCAGCAATTAAATACTGGCTGGCATGGCCTGAAGAGCTAAACACACACCAGGGGCTGCAAGAATCTGAAGGTTACTCAAAGATTTTAATCCCGTTTCCCAAGACTGACCCCATCACATCTAGTTTGAATGACAAATGTGGCTGCATTATGCCTTCTAAGACCTCTTTGGTGATGAGAAGATTTCAGGTGCCAGATGGTGCAAAAGCAGCAAACTGCAGGAAATGTTCAATCATTTCAAAAGGCTTTAAAACATCAATGTGCTTTCCACAGAAGCTACATCCCAAAAGGAAAGTAAAAAGCTTCATTGCAAACACTCATTTCTGACCAAGGTAGTCTGAGTTTGCTATGAGTTCACAGAGAATCTGATCCAAAGAGGTAGCAGACTTACACAAGGGTGGAAATCATTCCTCAAAGCAGTATTAGAAAGAGCCACTGGTTCACTCCTTTGTGTGTTTCTCCTTGAAATGTGCTTTGAAAATTTTGCAGAGCTCTCACATGGATCTTTAAGGGAATGGTGGTTTGCTGCAACTCACAGAGGTAGGAGGATTTGAGCATTGATCTTTTCTCACTTTCTTTTGCTGTTGGTCAGAAGACAATTACTCCTTTGTGGTTTCAAGTGTTACCTCATATTTTGCCTGTTACCATAAATGTTCTTTTAGGCCAGCAGAAGATACTGTACATGGTTCAGACTCTCAATTCATATGGGTTTTAGGCCACACTTGTGCACCCCCACAGAGCCAGTGTGACCTACCAGATCTGGATAAGCCACTTCCATTATTAGTATGAGATTATATTTATGAGATTAAGCCTTTTAAAAACCAGTGGGTGGGTAGCAGAAGAACTCTTGCAAATCTGACAAAGAATGGAAAAATGCAGAAAAGCTGAATCTGCTTTGTACTTTCCATCATGTTATCTCTGCTCAGCAGCAGAAGAAAATACAGAAGGCTGGACTTGCCATCACTAGTCTGGTGACTCCATGCCTGGACACAGTAACCCTTGGGTATAAAGCTCTCCTTCTCCCTCTAAACTCTGAAACAAAGGATTTTGAAACACCAGACAACAGGTATAGGTGTCACTCATTGTTTGCTTGACTCCCATGGCTCGAACAAATTTATTAAGTCTGATTTCCAGACCTGCCCTGCAAAGCAGGAAAGCTGCTTGCATGCCTTCTGAAGCAAAAAATCTGTAACTGGGTTTCCTTTGCAAGAATCCAACTCTGTCATTCACTACTGTCTGATTCTGGAAGCAGGTCTTTGACAAACAAGGAAAGACTGGGAGTTTTCCAAACTACTTTTATCTCTCTTGGTGGGAATTCTTTGGTCACCAAATCCTCAAGTCCCCAATTAATGACATGTTTATGTTGATACAAAGCAAGACTGTTCAATCATCATACTCAAAACTATCCTGGAGGCTCCATGTCCCTTCCACAGTTCCTCCTGGGGTGCTCATTTTCCAAGTATTTTACTTTGTAGGGTAGATTGAGATTGTGTAATAGAAAAGCTGAAAGAAGATAAGGATTTCTTCTCCCTTAATGTCAGATACCTGCAGTGGACCCCCCACATGCACAGTAATTGCCTCAAACTTTCATTCTCAGCAGAGAGAGGCAGAGGCTGGCACTTTTATAGTCAGATGCTTCTCATAATAATGTAGACACTGAAACTGGGTGAGATTAATAATGTTCCAGAGAAACCTATTTTGAATATAAAGGGAATTTAGCCTGCTACTTTGCAACACATCTTAAAATTGGACTGCTGAAGTGTATCCCAAATAATGGTTAGAGAAATAATATGAAGAAAATATTCAACAGTCACACTAGTTTCCAGCCCTTAATCATATTTGTGATTGTGTTAATCCAATGCTTGAGTCTTGAAAATGCTAACCTGGGACCTAATTTTCTTCTTTACATGGAGAACAATCCATTCCCAGCTCTGGAGCTGCTCTCACACAAACTATCACCAAACTACTCCTGTCACTCTATACCTGAGGAATTTCTGTGTTTTCCCATTTGTGTGACTCACATTTATTACCACCTGACCTGGTGTTTTGCATCTGAATGACACAAGGGGGGGATCTGGAGTGTAATACAATAGCTGGGGTCAAAATACATGATGAAATTCCATTACTTTCTATCAACCTGTTGATGTGAAATCACAGATTCTGAACTTTCATGAAATTTAAGGCACCTGTCTTGGTGATGGATGTTCTGTTTAAGTCCCCTGCACTCAAGAAATGTAAATATTTAAGATATTATTGCTTCAACAAGAGTTGATTTCTCTACCCTCAAGTAACAGATGAAGTCAAGTGCCATGCCATGGTTATGGAGTCAATTGGTATGAAAGCAACTGCTGGAAGTTCATATTCTAAACCTCCTGTCTCACCCATGGAGGTGATTTCCTAGCTCTCTTGGTATCCAGATGTGTGGAAATCACATCCCTGCATGTGTTAGGAGCAGGAAATATTGAGTATCTGGACAGACTGCACAGCCACCAAATTTCCAAAATATTTTCACACCCACAAGTAAGAAAGTCGGCTCTGAGTCACAGATAGAAAGAGAAAATCCAGGCCAGAGCTGTTCTCCTAGCAAAAACGCAGAATGGAGAGCCTTTTAATTAAACATTGCACACCTGAGAGATTTCACAGCCTGTCCTGCCCTATAATAGACAGCAGAGAGAGCAATGGGGTATTCAGAGGCTCAGCCCAAGCTCATCTCTGTGAGATGTGCAGGAACACTCAAATCCCAGACCCTGCCAGAGCCCTCTCCCTGCCAGCACTGCTGGTGGGCTGCTTGCCTGCCAAGATCCCCAGGTAATGGCCAATAAAGGAGGACTGGGAGTTTGAACAGGACTGGGCAATGCACTGTGTTTGCATTGCTTATCTTGAGTAATCCATGGAATAGGAGAGGGTTTCATTGCTATTCATGGCTAGCAAAGCCCAGCCTCAGAGTTATGCTGAGCTGAGCTGCACATTCATCAAATCCTTTGTCAACCTTCCTGGTCACTCTGGCTTTATGTAATTGCTTCAGATTATAAAAATAATTATGATTAAATCTTTCCAGGTAATTTCTAAATTTTTTTTCCTAATTTCAAACTGCTACTTGTGTAGATTTACACCTCCCCCCCCTCCCCCCCCGACCTTTTTTGGACACCAGCATTCTTTCCATGTTTTTTTTTTCACTTTGCCTTGTTTTTTCTGCTGTCCATCTGCAGAAGTCAGGTGCTTCTGCCAGCTCACAGGACTGAAAGGGTAAGAGGGGAAAAGGTTGCTGCAGTCTAAGGATGTCCAACACACTGAGCTGATGAGCTGCAACACGTGCTTGGAAGATTGCCTTTCTACATGGCCACTGCTGGCAGCGAGGCAGGATTCAGCCCTGCCTGATTAGGTGCATAAGCCAGATTTGGATTTTGGGATCCATCTCCATTTTTCATTTTCCAGTGCAAAAATATTAGGTTCCTAGTTTGCATCTGGGTCAAGGTACTTTATGGGCAAAGAGCAGCATGCATTGTTAACAAGTTATTTACTGGAGCAAGAGGGAAAGTTCTCCCAGGCATATTCATAGACACTATGGATTTCAGTAAACTAAATATAATCAAAAGATTCTGCTTTAAAGGTAGTGCTTCATATCACCCAAGTGGGGTTTTCTTTCCACTTAATAAAAACCAAGCAGACAATTTGGACTGGAATTGAGTGACATGTGAAGATCCTCCCCCTTCCATCCTCTTTAAAACTAAGTATTTGTCAGTGTCCTCCTCACTCTCTGAATAGATTGTTGGTAAACAGATAAAACCAGAAGAGAAAGGACAATAAATTTAGTTCTCTTATAGACTCCACTAGGCTAAAGGGTATTTCAGTTCAATTTTAGTCACTTTGATTTGTCCAAGTCAGTTGAGCACATCACTAAACAGCACATGCCTTCAATGATTTTGCCTACCAGTGGAAAGATTTCTTCATTAACAGCGGATTTTCCAAGGTGTTGAGCACCCATGATGACTTTATTGGGAGTTCCAGCAATGCTGGTTCTGTGGGATTCAAAGAGTAAATGCTTCCAAGATAAACATTGGAGGTAGGAAGAGAGTTGGAAGACAGAATTTAAGCCAGAGTATAGAATAAGCCTGTAAGAAGATTGAGAGCAAAGGCAGGGGCCATACTGTGATCACATAGGCCTCTCTAATCCTACTGTAAGTCTATCTCTGAACATATATGCATTTTGTATTTAACACTGGCTTGATTCAGAGCAGCTCAAACCCCATGGGAAACCACAGCAAACAAAAACTCTGTGTTGTCTTACATCCTTATCAGATTGCTGGAGAATTCATGCCAAAGGGAAAGGCTGATTTGTCACAATGCTAAAAAGAACAGCTTCTTCCAGATAAAAAACAGATAAAAAGAAATTAGTAATGAGCTCCTCGGTGCACATGATAATATAATTCACCTTTTTAAATATGTAAAAACACCTGCTGGCTTCAAGCAGACTTTTAAAAAGGCACAACGTCAGAATAAATGCTCACAATCCAAGGGAATCCACATGCATGCCACAGGCCAGATCCTCTGCTGCCCAGCTCTGGCACTTCAATGGCCTTCACAGCTTCAGGGATGCTTTGCTAACATGCAGCACCT